TGGGAGGGATAGGGAGACGCGTGGGGAGGTCGGGGGCAGGTGGGAACTGCTGCCCCCCGTGGTACCGCTCTCCCTGCTGAGCCAGCCTTCTCTCCCACAGACGCTGGCCATGGGGCTGATGACGGGGATGATTGCCAGGTACACCCTGGGGACCCCACGGTGATGGGAGCTGGGGTCCCTCCTGTCCTCTGCTGCGCAGCCAGCTCAAATGAGAGGCTGCCAGGAGCTGGGGGAAACACTGGTCCCCTGGGATCGGGGGGACAGCAGGGTCCCTGCGCAGCATCAGGGCATGGGGGTCACCACCATGCCCTGGCAGGGGGATGCCGAAGCGTGGAGTGACTCTGGTGTCCCCTCTGCCCGCAGCATGTACGAGACCAACGCTGTCCTGATCGCCATGGTCATCACTGCCATTGTGGCCATCATTGTCACCATCTTCTGCTTCCAGACGAAGGCAAGGAGGAGGACGTGCCCTGGGGGGGCGGGTCAGGCACAGGGAGCCGGGCAGTGGGGACACCCTGGGCTCTCCTGTGACCTATGTGCTTGTGTCCCCCCCGGCAGGTTGATTTTACATCATGTCCAGGGCTCTTCTGTGTGCTGGGCATTGTGGTCATGGTGACCGGGATCATCACTGCCATCGTCCTCTCCTTCAAATATGTGAGCGGGGGGGACAGACGGGCTGTGGGGTGCCATGGGTGTCCCCGGTTGGGTGTCCCCAGGGCTGGTACAGGCAGGGGGGTTTGGGTGGTCCCCCCTTTGCCTGGAAGCAGGGTGTGGTGCTGGCCACAGCAGAGGCAGCTTGCCTGCAGGGAGAGGGTGGGTCGGCGTCAGCGTCAGTGGCATCTCCTTGGGATCCAGGTGCGGGCAGGACCTGCCCTGCCTTGCCCGCTACCTGCCAGCACCCAGCTCACCCTGCCCGTGTCTCCTTCCCTGCGCAGGTCCCCTGGCTCCATATGCTGTATGCGGGCATCGGCGCCATCGCTTTCACCCTGGTGAGCTGACAGCTGGGGTGGGCAGAGGGTGTCAGGCAGGGATCGGGGGGGGTCCCTCTGGTCCCTGTCTGACACCCTCTGCCCCCCCAGTTCCTTGCCTATGACACCCAACTTGTGCTGGGGAACAGGAAGAACACGATGAACCCCGAGGAATACATCTATGGCGCTCTCACCATCTACACAGACATCGTCTACATCTTCACCTTCATCCTGCAGATCGTGGGCCGTGATTAGCCCCGGGACCCCTCCCATCCCCCCACTTCCCACTGCCCC